CCTTCTATCAGTTTCCTTGTTTTTCTTCCTTCCTCGTAGCAGCCAGCTCCCAGCAGGACTGGTCTCTGCTGTGTGAGTCTCCTGGCCTCCACTCAGGCTATGGCCCACCCTTGCTGACCTGTTGTTCCATGTTGCCAAACCTGAAGGTCAATCCTCAGTCCTTGTGATACAGCTCTTCTCAGTCCTTATTCCCTTCTGTATGAAACCTGCTGTGTATCTTTTCATGGTTTCTCTACCTTTCCACTCCGGATTGTGCTCAGATCCTCTTCACCATCCCCACTCAGTCCTTTACCATCTCACCTATTCCTTGTGTGTATCATGGATTCAAATTTTGTAATTTTAGACCAAACACCCTGCAAGTTATTTTTGTCTTCCTAGGGGACACTCAGCATTGCACAGTTGACTTGCCTGGACCTCAGCTCCACCTGGTCCCATAGCTGTCCCAGAATCATCAGGGAGAAACTGTTCCTCCCACTGCTCAAGTCCCAGTCCTGGGGTCGTTCTTACTGCCTCTTACTTCCTTATCTCACTTCTGAATCATGTGTGATCTCTTTTCATATCTTCCTGACTCTGCCTCCAAGATCTATCCAAAATGTGGTCACTTCTACCCTAACCCATGCCACCTCTTGAGCCAAGCCTGTCAGCTTGTTGCTGTGGCAGCCTTCATCCTGATCTGTGTCTGCCCTTGCCCCGTGCAGTCTTCCCTCAAGAATGAGCAGATTAGAAGCCAGAAGACTAGCTAGACTGATCAGGAAGAGCAATGTACAAATGATCAATGTAAGGAACAAAAGAGGGAACGTCACTACAGATCCAGTTGACAGTAAAAGTATCAGTGGGAGTATTATAATCAGTGTTATGTAGGTCAACTCAGCAGCTTAAATGAAATGGAAAAATTCCTTGAAAAAACACAAATTATCAGGCTCATTCAAGAGCAAAACATGCCGCACACACCTGTAATTCCAGCATTCTGGGAGGTTATGGCAGGATGATAGCAAATTTGAGCCCAGTCTAGACAATGTAGCAACTTAGCAAAGAATTTGTCTCAGAATAAAAAATTAAAAGGTCTGGGGAGGTAGCTCATCGTGAAGGCCCAGTACCACACCCAAACACATGCACACACACACACACACACACACACACACACACACACACACACACAATAACAGGAATATTGTATGTGTTAAATAAACTAATAGTGAATAACCTTCCAACAAATGCAATTCCAGGCCTAGATGGTTTCATTGGGGAAGTCTTCTAAACATTTAGTGTCAATGCTCTAAGACTTACAGAAAATGGAGAAAGAGTATTTCTAACCTACTAAATATGAGCTCTACTCTGATGTGAAAACTAGACAAAGATATGACAAAATAAAACTACAGACCTGTATGCCTCACAACTACAGATAAAAAAACTTCAATTCAGTTTTAGGAAACTGAGTCTAGTGGTACACCGAAGAAGATAGTACGTAAGGCTCAGGAATGCAAGGAGTCAGGGTTTGAACACAGTTTAGATTTCCCACATCAAGCAATAGAAGCTGCGTGATGCCCTGATAGAAAGAGCATTTGACAGAATTCAGCGTGCATGTGTGATTGAAAAGGTCTAAACTAGGAATTAAAGGAAACTTTTTATTTGGGAAAAAAGCACAGCAAATGTCATGTTTGACAAAGAAAGGCCATGATCAGGAGCCAGAAAAAGATACTGTTAGCACCATATTCAGTGTGGCACTTGTGCCGGCCACTCAAGGGTTCTCTCCTCACATTGACCATTAAAATCCATGGTATTCCAATCAATATGCTTTGGTAGTAATTTATAAATCAATTCTAAAATGTATGTAGAAAAGCAAAAGAACCAAGAGGATAGACTTTAAGAACAAAGTTTAAAGACTGAATGAAGCTACACTGGTCAAGGTGTGACAGGATAGAGATACTAGAACAATGGAACAGAATACAGATGTGTGTCATGTGGTCAAATGATTTTCAACAAAGTTGGAAAGACGGGTTATGGGGAAAGATCATCACTGCTAACAAATAGTGCTGGAAAAGTTCAGACAACTATATGGAAAAGGGAAAAAATTCTTGAGACAAACTGCTTTAGTCTACTTAGGCTGTCAGCACCAAATACCAAAGACTGACTGATTCAAACAACAGAAATTTATTTCTCACAGTTCTGGAGGCTGAGTTGTCCAAAAGGATGGTGCTGGCAGGCTGAGTTATATTCTGAGGCTTCTTCATCTGGGTGGTAAACAGGTCTTCTTGCTTTGCCTTTCATGGCCTTTCCTCTGTGTGTACAGGTGAAAGCACACTTGTGAGATCTCTAGTGTCTTCCTATAAGAACACAGATCTTCTGGAGCAGGGAGGATCTTCATGACCTCATTCAATATTAACTCTTTATACACCTAGGAATTTTGGAGGAACACAATTAAATACATAGCATATACTACACTTTCATCTTCTATAGAACTTAACTTGCAGAAGATCATGGGCATACATGTAAAAAATTTAAACATTTTAGAATAAAATACAGAAGAAAAATGTTGGCAACTTTGGGTTGGGTAAAGATATCTTAAGGTACGTATCCCATGAACCATAAAAACTTGATAAGCTGAACCTCATTAATGTGAAAACTTGTGATGGACTTGGTGATATACTCCTGTAATTTTAGCTGTGTGAGAGGCTGAAGCAGGAGGATTGCAAATTTGAGACCAATGTGGGCAACTTAGTCCTTTTCTCAAAAAATGAAAAAAGTCTGAGGGTGTAGCTCAGTGGTAGAGAGCATGCTTCGCATGTACAGCGCCGGGGGTTTGATCGCCAAAACACCTACACATGAAAAAAACTCAATGAAAATGGCAAAAGATTTGAATGCACATCACTAAAGAAGATATATAAAAGTAGATAAATACATGTAAAGGTACTGAGTATAATTAATCATTAGAGAAATCCCCAATAAAACAAGATAATACTACATGCCATTATAATGGTTAAAATA